TTAAAACTTGTGATGGAGCAGTTGGTCCTGCTCCAACTTCAGTTTCAAGGTTCACGTCACAGATTTATCAGTGTTATAATGTTTGACACAAGACTGGAAGCTGAAAGTTGAAGCCACAAAGTTTAAGATCCCCCCCCCCCGCCCCCAGTGTCTGGCTGAAGTGCAGTGTTTAAGTCCTTCACCTCAATGTGAGAAAATTGGATGTTCTCCTAAACGAAACAAAACAAAAAAATTCAGATACTTTTTCCAAGAGTTGTTTTTTTTCTGCTTCATATAGGACTTTTTGATGTTTGATGTTGGATGAAATATGCATTAAATTTTTTAAATTAATTGAATTAGTTATACAGTAGTCCCTCACTTATCCTGGGTGTATCCCTGGTGTGATGAGTTAAATACAGGGAAATAATTTTGCCATTGTATGGGAACATACAATGATGATAACACAAAGCACTTTATTACTTTATTATCACAGGAGTTATGTTCCAGACACCCCCGCGATAGGTGAAAATCCACGAAGTAGGGACGTTGTATTTATATATATTTTGTCTTTATAAACTGTTCCCACACTCTTGCAATGTTCTTAATAATGTTAAACTCTCTAAGTGCTCTAAAAGAGCACAGCGAAAGAGAGCAGATAGACTGATGCTACGATTACTGAGCCAATTGCTGGGGCGGACTGGCCATCACGAGCACCGAGACATTTCCTGGTGGCCTGGCCCGCTCACTGATCGCCGATGGGGACTAAAGTCTCGGTTCGGCTCGCACGTGATTATTTTAAATAAACAATCCATGCCGCTTACCTGAGTAAGCGGCATGGATTGCGCCTCACTGAAGCTCCTACAGCAGCAATGCGGAAAGACAGACCCCACTCCTCCCTTCCTTTCTCCTTCTGAGACGGCCTCAGAAAGAGAAAGGGGGGGGGGGGAGGGCATGACGATCACTGAGCAGACCAGGCCACCAGAAAATGTCCCAGTGCCCCCGATGACCAGTTTGCCCCCTTAGCACAATGATCTGGTTGGTCGCCTTCCATCGATCAGCCGATCGTGTCGTGTGTCTTGTACAATCGTACGTTGAAAATCTGTGAAAGAGTGAGTCCGCGAAAGTCGAACCGCAAAGTAGCCAGGGATTCTGTATACGTTTTTTAAACAGTGTCATGTTTCCAATGAACCTGAAGTGAGTTAGGAGGGTGCGTGGGCAGGACTTTCATACTGATTGAAAAGCTCTCATCCCTGGTGGGCAGACTCAATGATGCGTTTACAGTAAGAGTTACAAGGAAGAGGGCCGTGGTCTCAGAATCCTGAGTCTGTGGGACTGGGCCCAGGTTGCATCAGGAAGGGCGTCTGAAGTAAAACTGGCAAATCTTTCTAATCCTTACAAGAAAACCTAACAAATTAGTCTTTAGTAAAAATTAAACTTATTCATTGAAGTTAAAATCTTAATTGTAACTATAAATAATCATGTAATAACTGTTATCATACAGATTATATATTTATAATTAATTTGTGGAAATATATGCTCTGATGAGAAACGGTTTGTTTTTTATTAATCTTTCAAATAAGTGATAGTACAGTAAAACCTTTTAATCATGGGACTATAGAAGCAATAACATTTTACAGTAGGGGTTTCAGCCTTTTTATAATGTTTGTTACAATATTAATTATTAATATACTGAAATCATTGGTGTTAGCAGGTTAATTATTAACACTGTAAATCAGTGCTGTTGCAGTACTTTGTGTGATCTGTGTTTTTGGCCCTCTAGTGTGTGTTTTTTAATGCTACTGGTATGAAGTGTGCGTAGTGAGGTTTGTTTGTCCAAAATCAAATAAAAAGTGTTTTGACATGTTTCTTTCTCTCTTGTGTTTTTGTCTGTGTGTCTCCTGCAGCCCAGGAGAAGAACAGGAGGCAAAGTATGTTGTTTTAGTTCTGGCAGGTTGACGGCATGAGGAGAACAGCGACGCCCGGCGCCGTCCTTCTAGATTTCCTGAGCCTGCCACATACAAACTGAAGGAGTGATGCACACCCTGCCACCAAAAGTCTCACATTCACACTGGAGGGGGAAAAAGAGGAGATACACACACACACACACACACACATATATACAGAAAATGTGACAACCGAACAAATTATACAAATTAAAGACTGAAACCTTTAAACTTGTAGTTAAAGGCTCGGCTCAACCCCACAAAGAAAATTGGAAGAAAACAACAAAAAAAGTGTGATGCTGGAAGAAAAGTGGGAGAACATTTAATTTCTCCTTGCTGCTGCTACTACCTCTGCTGTCCAGGAGAGGGCAGTGTGAGGACGTGAACTTGCTGTATCAGTGAACTGTAAGGAAGGAGTGAATTAGAATCAAAAGCAAAGAGAGACAGAGGTGACCCCTGCTGCCACTCTTCTTTTAGATTATTGCTGTACATAACTAGACTGAGCTGTAGAGTTCTGCTTGTTCACAGCACACCTCAGCCTGAATCCAAACTAGAAGAATTGCACCTCAATCTTTAACCTTCACCCAACCCTTAAGTACAAGATAATGGTCTTTTGTTTTTCTATCTATCCATCTTGATCTCTTAAGCAGGCTGACTCACTGGTGGCTCACTTGAACATGGCGAGTGTATATAGAATTGGGAGTTTACGGAGATAAACGTTTGCACCTTATTGCCCAGCAGAGGTCAGGGTGGCTGTCTCATCTGTCTCTTGAGCAGAGCAGGGTGGAAAGTACACGCATGATGAAGAATCGGTCGATGAAAACAGCAGGACGTGGACAGATGTGTTGCACAACTGCACTACTTTAGAATTAAAACACTGCTGTCCTCACCAGGCATTTAACAAACCTCCATATGCTGTAAAGAAAACTACAAGGTTCTTCAGTATTGAAGGGCACTTGGATGGTAAAGTACGTGTACAAATCCTCACCTGCTTGTCCCAAGACACCCCCTCCCTCCTCTTTTGCCTTGACTGAGAAGTTGTCTTGATGTTGAACCTTTTGCACCTGATTTTACCTATTTAAACACAATTAGGTAATTAAAAAAAAAAAAACATCAAACTCGTATGCTTTTTACTTTTTTATTCTTTTACCTTTTTTTTTTTTTAATGAATCTGTATATATGATCTTAAGTTGTCAGAAGCAATGTTGATTCCAGGATGCTGTTCTCAGTCGTGACGGTGGGCGGCGATGTGTTGCACATTCCTCGAGCTCAGGACTTTTCGCTTTTTTGTTTTTGTGGGTGCCGTGAGGTGCAGATTGTGTGTTCGCTCCCCTCATCCCTCCCAGTGGAGCAAACTGGGATGAAATCCTTGGCGAAGCTGGTTTAAATTGTACATGAAGAGTTTCTCATCACCCTGTCTGTCAGTCTTTGCTCATTCGTGCTCTTTTTATTCCATTCTGTCTGTTCAGACGCCAACTTTGCATATGTCCTTTTTTGCCATCTGTTTGAGCATGTTTCTGTATTAAACATCCATTTTATTGAATTGGTATGTGAAATAGCTGCAGGCAAAGGAAAAGCTCCTTTTAAAATGTGCATGCGACATGACATTATCACTTGATTCTTATACCAAACACATTAACACCTGAAGGACGACGCAAAGACTGTAAAGCAGCAGTGCAATGCGTTGGCACAGATCAGACTGGATGTCAAACTTCAGCAGAGAATCCTGTTTAACTGGACTGTGACGTGTTTCTGGGCACTCGGACATGCTGTTGGAAATGCGCACAGGCTGCCAGAATCTGGAGGAGCAGTCAGTCCTTCAAGCGCACAACTGTTTCACACACCAACTTGCTGACATGTATCTGTGAACAGGCCTGTTGGTGGAGACTGGCATTTCCTGTTGTCCTCGGGTCGGTTCTGCATTTTTCCTCTTCAATGGATTCAGGAAGAGTAGAGTGGTCCCGCGTCTCTGCCTGTGACGAAAGCGGCTTATTTTCACAGAGTGTGACTGTATGTAGCATGTACATAGACTAGATGATCCTCACTGTATATACAACAGTGTACAGGTTTGATATTCACATTCTGTTTTTCCCCGGTTTTGCCTTTCTTTAATAAAAGTCATAGCAATATTTCTGTAATCAATAATAAAAAAAAACCTGGAAGTAAGTTGATTGTGTTTATTGAAGAAAGACAAAATACACGTGCTGTTCAGCTTTTCAAAAAAAAAAAAATCAAATCGTATCATGAACCTCTCGGTCTCTAATCAGACGTGTGTGTCAGAAATGTCACTCCGTCTCAAATGGAGAGCATTTATAGTCTTTACAAATTTTAAGAAGCTGTAAATATTAACAGAATGCTGTTATTTAAAAATCAAAATGTGTAAATAAATTTAGTTGAAAATTGTACAAAGGCGTATTACAAAGTTATGGAATGTTTTATTTGAGAAACCTCAAAATGCAACCGTCAACATTACTGTAAATCTAAAGACGCCATGCTGCATTTTCAAGGCACAAAACAAACTGCTCCTACAATATATATGAAACAATATAACATTAATTCATAAAACATAAATTAGGAATATAATAAGACATTTAATTTATTTGAAGACAAGATGTACGCCTTTTGAACAACTCGTCTGTTGCGTCTTAAAAATAAGTATTTTCTGTTTTAAGTGGTTGTCAGACATCCATATGAGTCAAATAGACGTTTTTGAATATGTACAGATGTAAAACTCATCTGTACCTGTGGAGGATTGCTAATGTTTTGAACTGGTTCACACCAGCTTGAGCTGCCTGTTTGATAGGATCAATAAGTGTTTAGATAAAAAAATTTTTAAGGCTTTTGGTTCGTTAAAGCAGACACCCTTGGATGGCTCTGAAGACCACAGGAGTGCAGGAGCAGCTCTTTCTGAAACCACAAACAAAACGACAACAAATGACTAAAGCACAACACTGGTTAGTGTGTGGTTTTGCTGAAGTGCTGTTCTTTTTCTTTGCTTAAATATATCTGGTCATAAAAATGTACATACTGGTAGACTGCAAATTAAACTGCTGTGGTATGCACTTAACAGTTTGATGAAGATATATTTTAGCTGCTTATTTGTTTAGGAATCTGAATCAAACCTTACATAACATTGGAAGCATTACAAAACACAATAAAATAAAATCATTGATCAGCAAACACACAGCCCCATGGTCCTGTGCTGAAAATGATGGAGTCCAAAGTGATGAGCACAACACAACCCAGGACACAAACGGATCAGTGGCTGCCTTCATTTTGTGTCACTACAGTCATTGACACATGGAGGATGAGCCTCACTACATAAAACTTCTAAAACTTTATTTATTTTTACTTTATAACATTTATTTCTAGGTATAGTCTCCGAGTTATGAGGATTCATTTTTAAGGAAGACCTGTTTGAGACAGTCAACATAGAGTACAATAAACAATATTGTATGCAATAATAAAGATCAAAGTAACATAAAACAAAGTAAAATACAAAAACAAGAACATATTTGCTTAAATTTTTGAATTAGCTTATCAAACGTTTTAAATACCTT